CAGATAGATTTCTCGAATGACCTACGGTTATCAGAACATTTATTGTTGGAGGTCTGTGGCATAGATAGTATCTTGGCGACTGGCTCTTCGATCTTTGTTAAGGTGTCTGATCTCCTAGACACTTAGACGGAATCTTCTTTCATCCTTTTCTAGTTTTCTCTTATGGGAGGTTCTTTCTCATGTTACCTATTCACCTACTTATGGATCACCTTGTTTGGATTCATGCAGCTGATTCTTTTCTCGGTTAGGAGAGCTTGAGAATATATTAGAAGGGATGCAGCTGTGAAATCTTATTTCAGAGTCTTAATATCTACACCATCTCTCCCAAGGGCAAAATGGTTCGCCTGGTTAGCTTTACAATTCATGTTAGCCACTTTGTCGCTACTTCAATTGAGGGGGGCCTTGCTTCGGCCTCCACCTGTCCCTTATGTTTTCATGATGAGGAGTACTCACACCACATCATTAAGCAATGTACATTTTTTAGCTCATCTAGAGATATATTATAAATAGATTTGAGAAGTGCTTCCCCCTAGAGCAGACACTATGACCTTGATGACCACATGAATTGAGTTTATACTTCGATCCACATGAATGAAGTTTGTTTGGAATTGTGTATTTTTCATTATTATTTAGTGCCTTTGGATAGAGCAAAGTTTTCAAGTTCATAGTGAGGGTAACACGCCTAGAGAGCTACTGCTAAGGTGTAATCGTTGGGTTAGATCGTTGGAAAAAGCTAATGATTGGGCATTCCATTCTGTTGAATCTAATATAGCTTCCAACCTAACCTACATTAGAGATTGGTTCTTTCTCATGTTCACATCCATGTGGTGTGGTTGCATTCTCGTTTAGGCTTTTCTAAGCTTAACATAGATAGGGCCTCTAGGCACAATCCAGGCAATACTGGTTGTGGGGTCATTATCATGAGTGATAGAAGTAGATTTATTGCGGTATTTGCAGCCCCTTTGGGTTTTATTTCGAATAACCCAATAGAATTCCTCACACTTGAGAAAGGTCTTCCCCTAGCAAGGGAATTAAACTGTGTACCTCTTGTCATTGAAGGCGACTCCAAGCTTTTTGTTGATTCTATGAATCGTTGCTGCAGGTTACCTTAGAGATCGTGCATAATTTTGGCTAACTGTATATCTATGCTTGCATCTTTTGCTGACTATCTATACATAATCCAACATGCTTATAGAGAAGCTAATACAGTTGCCAACTCTTTAGCAAAAGAAGTGGTCTCTATAAATGAAGAAACCGTATGGCGTGCTCGTCTCCTTGAATTTGTAATACATTTCTACTAGTATTTCTTTGCCAAGAGTTGTATGATTGCTTATGTAACGACTAAATAAATTGGGCAGGTGCCCGATATCCCCATTGATTCACCCAAAAACACAAAACAAAGAAAGTTGAAGTGGTCTCACGTCTTGGTCCCAAGGCAAATAAAGTTGAAGCAATATGATTCTTTCCTAATCCTAATGCATTTGAATAAATCTGAATCATACATGGCTTTGCTCAAGCGAAAAGATTGAAAAGTCAACCCAAACCCATAGATGCCACAACCTATTTTCTAAACTTGAAAGTATCTAAACATTACTTTTAATTTTAAAACCTGTTTGCTAAAACATCTATTTCTAAAATCCACGACCCTATCTTCAAAAGCTTTCGATACACTCAAATATACATTTAAAAAATCTCTCATTGTTTTCTAAACCTTTGCAAATGTTTTCTAAAATGAAGAAATGGAACCCTGCAAATGATGATTGTCTCGTTTGTTTATATTCATGGTCATATGCCCAATAACAGGTTGCTTCATTCCAGCAGTAGATTGAGGCAAAATCTTCCTGGGCCTACCAAACCTTCTTAAGCCTAACTATTTTAATGTAAAGGGTGCAGCCTATTATCTTTGACAAGACACTACCTTCTCACTGAATTTGAATTAGTGAAAACTCCCTGTATTATTCCTGCATAATTTGTTCTTTTTGGACTCGGTGATGATGCCATTCTCCTAGGGTTCTAAGTGGTAGCATTAGCTAAACAATTATTTGACATTCCTTGATGGTTTGGATAACTCTCACAAGAGGGGCTACCATAGACACCTGAATTTCGACCAGAACATTGGAACTGTCTAGAGCACATACATAAACCTCGCAAGCCACATAAGTTCACCTAGAAGGGCCATCATTCTCTACTACAATCCATGCCATGCCTCCTCAACACTTTCACAACACCAAATCAAAAACTACTTCCTCTGCAGTCCAAATGGCCTTAGACAAGGAAAAACACATCGTAACAGCACCTGCAATAGTGCGAGTCATGATGGTAGCTCGTGTTCGTATGTCAGCCGCTTGTAGTTGTACATTGGTCACAAGAAACCGACCTATGGCTGCTTGCAATTGAGCATGACCGTAAGCAGTTAGGCCCTAACATAAGGCCATGTAGCCTTGCAGTCAGGGCCTGACCACACATGGTCCACCCGTAACCGAGTGTGGCAGGTGTCTCCTCGTGGCCAATGAGCCTCGTTTTCCACGCCCCACTAGGGGGGTCGGGGGGTTAAATCTTTCATTCGTTCGATCAATCTCACCCTTAATAGTTGGTTGTTCATTTGCATTCTAACTTTGGGGACACTCCATTAATGTGGTAACCCTCTATGAGGGCACATTTTGGTCATCTATCTGATGTTTTGGTCCCCTTCCAGATAAACTCTCTCATTCTCCTTTATTGCTGTTATTTGCTATTTTCAATGCTTTTTTGGACTCGGGATTTCAAAAACAAGTCAATATCACGAGGGCTGAGAATTTAGTGGATCTAAAACTCGAAATTTGGGTCCTATCCGGATTTGGGTATGGATCTTGATCCGAAATTCAGATCAGGATCCAAAATCTAAAGCCGAATAGTAATTCGGGCGGGATCCGGGTATAGTGGATCCAACCCAGTATTTTAAAATGATATATATTATTTTATATAACTACACATATGTTATAATATATCTACGAGTGCAATTTGTATAGATCCTAGGCTTTAACAAATCAAAGTAAAGCTCACCTTCGAATAATGTTAAAAAATGTAGTTTCAATACTGGAAATCTTTATGATAGCCTTAAAATATATTGTCATCTTTAATTATAAAAGTTAAAGATTAAAAATCGTGTAGTTCGAGCGGATGGACGAAAATTTGAAAATCTTGAAAATTGATGGTAAAAAAATATATTACAAGATGCACTATTTCCAAAACTTGAAATCATACTTCTCTCCTTTCCATGCATCTTGACGTTGGGATGATCAATTTGAGGATATTTGGGCATCAAAACAACATCTTCTAGTGAAATTTTTGAGGTGGGCTCTAATTTAATTGCTTAGAGCCTCGACTCTATATAAACTTTTTCTTTTATATATATATATATATATATATAGGT